GTCAAAAACTACACGGCCCTGGAAGGGAAGCCCAAGCTCCACAAAGAAGCACAACTCTTCCAACAGCCTGACTGCAGCCCTGTGAAACCGTGAGTGACAGTGACACCGTGCCCAAACTCCTGACTCAAGGAAACTATGAGGTTAAAGAAACAAAAACTCCGCTGTTTTAAGCTGTTAAATTTGTGGTAATTTGTTACTCAGCAATAGAAAATTTCGGTATTGGTTATCTGTGTATCAGCAGACACTTACTTAACTAAGAACTTAGTATTAGGATGAATGCTAATTCCTGAATTGTAATAAGTCTTATCCTTCCACTATGGAAATAGATTATTAAACTTTAACAATGCCTATAATCTCATCTGGCCATTCACATTTTGGTTTGTGGAATTCTAATGCATTTTTCATGGATTTCCAAATTTTCTGCCATGTTCTTATTAACTTCTTTCCCTGAGTTGCCTTTTTACCCTTTAAATGTAGATGCTGCAGGTAGAATCCCTATTCTAGCAAGCCGCGCAGATGCCAAACAGTTGCTACTGCCTAAATTCCAACAACCTGAGAAAAGCAGTAAATGGAGCAGAGATAATCTCCAAGTTCCAGCTAAGAGAAAAATACAGTATAAAAAGAGCAAGAATAGGCTTTTCACTGCTAATTTCTTCACCAGCCCTCTCCAGAACTGTCAGATTGTTAATATGAACCAATAATGGACAGTGGTCAAGAAAGGTAGTTTTCCACTTAAAACAAAGGCAAATTTATAGAAATTAGATAAAAAGTAGACATACTGCAACCAAGTAGAAATTAGATATTTTTCAGCCTAAAATGTGCTAAAAAGAAGTGAATAAAATCTGTCGTCAATGCCAGTCATATATCAAAGGATAGCCCATTTGCCATACTCATGATCCCTGACTCTTAGGCTCCCAAGCCACTTTCTAATCATTACTTTGGTTTCCCAGGTATTTCAAACTAGGCAAAGAGGAAGCCCAGAGGGCTTCAAGCATTGTATCCAGAGTATTGTATCCACCTGGGGGATACAAGTATTCCAATCCTTGGAAAAGACTGTGTCTCACTGTAAGTTAAACTAGCAACCTAATCTACAGTGCGTACAACATGATTGTACAACATGATTACCAACCGGACTTAATGAGGAGCAATTCCTGGAACAGCAAGGCTCATACCCACACTGTGTTACTGAGCTAGGGAAAGGACCTCAAGAGACCCTGTCCATAGCCCTACTACTAACATAGTAACCCTGAAACAGCTTTAAAAATCGGAACAAGGCATCTCCAAATCCTGTTTGAACATAATTAGAGAAAATGAGCATATAAAAATAACTTCTTTTTAAAATGTCTGTAAAAATAGTATAATCTCCATAATTGAATGAATTACTATAGTCACTGAAACTAAGACACTGATTGTAAAATGCAACACTACTTTATAGAAGTATATAGGAAAAAACCGTCAATTGAGTTTTGCCACAATGTTAAATGATCATTGATTTCAACACATATTCTGATTTCAGAGATGTTAAAAATGTGAAAAAAGGTGCATCTCAGAATTGATGAAATACAGTACTAAAAATGTATTCTTCAGACAATTATTCAAATAAAGTATTAAACACTGAGTCTCTTAAATTGACACTATTCACAGTCAGTAGCACATTCTTAAAGCTATCAATTTTTTGCACTTCTCATTTGAAATGAAGAATGGGGTGACACATATTGATTTCTAGCAGGTATCTTGCACAAACTTTAAAAATTATGGATTCCCAGTTTGAAAGTCATCGCATTTTCATTAGAGAATCACAGATCGGGGATGAGATAAACGAGACCTATGTAAGTTAAATGACTGAGTACAGGGCCAGAAGACTAGTGAGCAGCAGTGGAGGCCTGAAGCCAGGTCTGTGCCTGTTCTGTGTTCTCTTCACAGCAATCAGAAATCATATGAGTAATTAGCATTTTCTGGTCCAACACTACAGACAGAGGGAAACAGTAAAAATCTCTGTCCATTTTCAAAGATGCTCTTTTATGAAATGATTCTCCTCAACTTCCCTGGCAGAACACTGACGACGGATAATTTGTTCAGCTAACCAATTCAACTACTAAACAGTTTCATTCTATCTGAATGGCACCCAACTTCTCAAAAACAAATGCCTTCTCTGCACACTCTGAGACCAGAAAATATTGCCTAATCAGCCACATGCCACCAAACGCTAGCCTCACAACAGGATCCAGTTGTATGAGATCATTGGTTCTTTACGAAAGGCTCTGGGAATGACAAAACATTTCAAAACCTTTCAGCATTTGCTATACTTGGACCTAGAAATTTTGACCCCCAAAGCTTGTTGAAAATCTGTTATGCTTTGCTCTGACTGGCCTCTTTAGAACTGGTGATTATTCAGGGAAGTCAGTAAATAATTCATCTTCTCTAGCCCTTAGTCCCTTTTGTCCTGGTTTCTTGCAAGGTGATTCACAGGGGACTTGCCCATATTAACCGGAGAGGACTCAAACATTAACGCATTTGAGTGGGATTGGTTGGAGACGTCAGCTGTGGGCTCCATCAAAATATACCTAGATGTCTCTATTACAGAATTCCTCATTGTATCATTCATTTCGATCACTTCAAAGTCCATTTCATTCCATTTTTCTGCATCTTCTTCTTCATTCTCTTCCTCATAGTCATTTAGCCCAGAGCTAGAGAGCAAAGCTTTCTGGTCCTCGCTTTTACTGTGTTCTTTATGCTGACGACTGATAGGCAAGGTGGCTAATTTATACAGCACAGGAAATAAAACAGCAGTGGCTACTGATGCCCCCAAACAGGTGTACAAAACTACAGGCAAATCAGGGTATTTTCCTTGAAGAATTCCAATTACTGCAGGAATAGCCATTTCTCCCAGGGCAGCACCGACTACGAAAAATGCTGCAGCTTTCCCATGGATGGTCGTGTACTGCTCAATCCAAGACACACCACTGGGAAATGTGGTTGCCATTGAGGCGCCATACACTGAAGTTGCTATCCAGAGACAGACTCGGCTCTTGTTGAAAAGCACCAGAAATAAAGATGAAGCCAGGCTGCCAATGTTGCTCAACACAATCATGGTTCCAGGTTGTAAACATGTAGCAAAAAAGATTGCCATACCCCTGCAGGCTGCAAAGGTCCCCCAGAAGATGGAGTTCAACCCAGCCGCTTCACTTTCTTTCATGCCAGCATGGGCGGTTGCAAAGGAGAAAACGTAAGAGCCATATGTTACCTCGGCTCCAACATAAAAAAAGAAGAACAGAAAAAGGAGACAAAGAAGGGCATTGTGATATTTAGCTCTTCGAAACCTCTGAGTAGATACTTTTGCTTTATCCTGCCTTGAGCTTTTCTTTACAAACAGAGCAAAAAAAAAGAGAGAAACTACAAAAATATAAGTACCGATAACAGCGTAAGCCCACAGTAAATTCATATCGTCAGGTATTCGAAGCAGAGATTCTGAGTCAGCTTCAGATGACTGGTTGAGGGCAGAATGGTTAAAGTCAGACTCTGTGTGGTTTTCAGCAGACACCATCCTGCCCAATGCCAATTTAGCCAGCAGGGGAGCCAAAAAGGCACCCAAGGCAAAACTGAAGTGTAAGGCCTGCATATGGGGGGCTCCTTTGTCCCCCCAAATAGCCAAGATTAGGACGTTACCACCTACCAATGAAAGATGGGGAAAATGATTTAATCATAGTAACTTAGTAAAAAAAAGTTCAAAATAGATGAGTCTATTTTACATGGCACAAGGATTATAATATTCTAAGTTATCAACTGTTGCAACTAAGTCAATTCTATGATTAAAAAACTCTAACTCACCAATACCACCAGCGAACTCTAAGCACTGGAACATCACACACTCACAAATGGAATTCTACAAGCTAATAAACCACTATTTCCTAGAGCCAAGTACATTAGCCCAAGGCTTTTTATAATATAGTTCTAATACCAGGGATAGGAGGGGTGGGGGTAGGGAAGGATATTTATATAGTTATTTTTAAACATTTTAAATATATATTATCATCAGATAGTGGCCAAATTACCAAATTTTTCTGTACCTGCAATCGGTAGCCACTTGAAGAAAATTATTTATGTATACGGCAGATGTAAAACACACATTCAGGAACCTGAACATTACAGGATTCTGCTGTGCCCATTGCAGGAAACAAGGAACACGGACACCTTCTAACACACTCAGTTACACTGTCTATGTATCTACATGGTAAAAGGCAAGAAGCCTCAAGTCTTGTGTTTTCTCTCTTTCTTTTTAATATATTTGCAGATAAACATACAATTCCACACAATTCCATCCTGTAATTTCACAACCAAATTAAGCCCCAAGTAAAAAAATATTTCCCCAACCTATCAAATAACAGGAAGAGGGGGAGAACGTTGGTTTCAGGGGTGAACAAATGTCACATATGTTATTTAGTAGGTTTTAAAAGACATGAAGATACATGGAGAGGATCTCCTGCAGGAGGGCAGGAACTTTTGAGAGAATAGGAAAAGAAGGGAAATAATACACAGCACAGGTTTCTCTTAGTTCAAAAGGCAGAGTGCATTTTAAATTGGAGAGCTGCTTCTATGTTTCCTCAGCCAAATAATGGTTCCAAACTTGGTTTGTTCTATTAACCCGTCAATTCCTGCCATATGACAATGATAAAGTTCTATCCCGAAATGAAAACCTGCTCATCTGCACTGTGATTACCCACATGGGGGCCCCTTCCCTGTTTGGATACTGTAAATCAACAACCTCGCAAAGAACAAAATTCTCTGAATTCACTCTGTGGTTGGCTGCTCAAAAATGGGCACCCTACTTGGCAAGAAGAGTAGTTGCCGGAAAGGTGGTTCTGACCTGGAGACCCCATGACCAACTCAGTAGGTCAGTGTCATTTTAGGGGACACTGCAAGTGACAATTTAATATCATATGCTCTACTTTTTCTAGTAGAAAGTCCCTACTCCCAGAGTTGACAATGAAGGGCTCACTGACCTGTATCCAGGATGCCAACTGAAACACCAAAGATGGACATCATGACAATCAGTAACACTGCGGCCTTACAAAATGGAACAAGATAAAGACCAATTGTGGTAGCGAACATTGACATCCCTGAGAAGAAAAGTAAAAGTCAGCTATAAAAAACACTATTTATGGGAAACGGTTATGGATCAAGGCAACATCATAAAAACTCCCAAAAATGTAAAAACAGGTCAAATTAAAATTGAGTAATAATGAGTAGATGAGAGGTTTAGCTTCTACTAACAGTTATTTCATTTAAAAGCTTTTATCATCTTTATGGACTATAAAATATATGTTATTCTACTATAAATACATTTCTAGTACTGCTAATAATCAAACCATACATTATACCACAAGGCAAAGTTTTATAGCAAAACAGAGCTCAAAAATTATTCATTTAAATGTTTCATATTTAACAACCTAAAGAGATGTTTAGATATGAGGTAAAAAATAAAAAAAGACAAAAATTAAATGCAATTACTATAGTAGTTCATAGTAGAAATGTATTAAACAAATTTGGGAAATAGGGAGGGAAATATAAGAAGTATACTCTTTCGACACACTATGGAAATCAGAGAGATTATTTACTCATTCATCAACAATGGTAAATTATCTCCTTACGTCCAAAGCAGTTTTATCACATTAATCCAGATTTTCTTTAAACATGTCAATTTATCCAAAAAAAGAGTAAGTTAAAAGCTTTGCCGTCTATTTTGAGAGTGAGGTAGAGAGGCCTGGGGTAATCATTAACATGGGGCAGCTGGGACAAAAATTGAGCCTTCATCATTTCACCCACCATCCCCTCCCACCTCATTCTCAGTCCAGGGTCTAATGTGGGGAGGTTCAAGGACTTTATTCTGATCTATGGCCCCAGGAGATCTGCCCTAAACCCTGACAATCAGAGCTCTTTGGACAACTTGTATGTTATCCAGTGGTGGTGCCTAAACTACAATGAAGGTCGGGAAGGCTAAGGATCGCTAACACACTCCAGGGCTAATCTAAATTTCCAGAGGGGTTTAGACCGGATTCCCAGTAACTGCCAAGATGAAAGCAGGCACCAGGGAAACCTGACTTCCACTGAGGATACCTAAACACTACCCTTAAGTTGTCAACCATTCTGCAAGCCAGTATGTTTCATATTTATAAACAAACTGTAAATTCCTCGAAAGCCACAAAGAAGCGAAAATTGTTGTTTACTTACCCAAAAGAAGAAAATGATTCATAATGTCAAAAAGAACTCCACCAATCACAGAGCCACCCAAATATCCAAAGGCACGGCCCACGAAAATCAGAGAAAGACTGCTGATATTGCGGTTCACATTTGTTGCCAAATCTTGAAACGTGGGTCCCAGTATAGCGACACTCATTCCCTAAAATTTAAAAAGACAGAAGTTTTCATTTACAATCATTAAAATAATGTCTATCTAGGTGGTAGCTTTTTTTCAGTATTAAAAAGGGAGGAGGGGATTTCAATGCAATGTAGGAGATTACGCCCCACAGTAAAATTCATAATGAAAATACTAGTACTAGTAGAGCTATAGACTCCTATTTCTGGTGTGCCAAGTCCTAGTGCTTTTCTAGTTTTGACAACTCTCGATTTTTACAAAATTCTTTAATTCTTTTGGCTCTTTGCTGCAATTCTGTTTCCTTTTTGAACAATACCAGAAAAAAACTACAGTATTTGTATTAACAGTAAAATGTAACATTAAAAAATTTATGAAATAGTTTTGAATAGTCTGAAATATACTGCACGCACAAATAACACCAGAATTTTGAGGTTAAAAATTTAAGTTAACAAACCATCAAAATATTATCCCCATTTTTTGATGTTGTTAAAACAGCAATATTTCTGGATGTACATGGGGTCCTTCCTCTGAACTACACATGTAAAACATGTAAGAGATAAACAATTTGAATGTTTCTAAATCTACATTTTTCTTCAAAGAAAACCAAAGCCTCAGGAGTACTGTCTGTAAGGCTTCCTTAGAGAATATTACATATGCGTGTATGCAATGACTTTAAAAATAAAATTTTACTCAAAGACATGTAACTTCAGCAAAAATTAGGGGCTGCAGTTGGCTTTCACAGGAAATTCGCTGGACACACAAAAAATGTTTCCAATCGGTCTACATTTCAAGAATAAGTGATTCTAATTGCACGAATTTGCTCTAAACGCTTGGGTGTAGCCCCTCTCCAGGCCTGAGCAGTCCCCAGCTACGAGCAAGCTTGGGCACAGGTGCAGAGTAAGTGCCTAGTACAGGAAGGGAAGGCTGCGCCCCAGCTGTAACCAAATTAGTTCCCGCCTGCAAAGCACTTAAAAGGACCTGGCACATCATCTGCAGTGACGTTTCTTCGAATACAAATACTCTAAGAATCAAGCGTGGCTCAAAGGAAGAGACACTAAGTGGTCACAGGTGACTCTGCTCAGAGGACTCACCCTCCCAACTCCCCAGGATCCCAATATTTAAGACAAGTGACCACAGGGCGGCCAAAGGGGTTGGCAAAAGGCCAAACTAGCCTTGCAGTTTGGTCTTAGAAAAACACTGAAGGACCTGAAATTTTGTTTTACATAAAACTGTAGGCAGAATAAAAGACATTCCTGGCTCAACCACTTAACCAGCTGTGTGGTCCGAAAAAAAGTCACTTTCCCTCTCTGGGTCTATTTCCCCACCTGCAAAAATAAGGGGTGAATTTGGTCAGCCGAGGAAGAGAAAAAACCAGTAGAGCAACTTTGCGCAATAATTTGGGGGTTGGGTGAACGCAGGAGGCGGGGGGGGGGCTTCGGGGGAGGCTATAAACCTGGCAACCCCTCTTGCATCCCCCCGACCCCACGGAGGAGAGGTAGAAAGGTTTGCTGGTGCTGGAAAATATTTTACGAAAATCGGTTTCACACTTGACAATAGCCCTCTAAGATTATAATTGTGCCCATTTTTCAGATTATGAAACTGAGGCCCCGGCAGATTAAGGAGCCCAAGGACACCCAGTCTGCAAGCGGCGGAAACGAGACAGGAGCTCGGAAGGCCGCGCTCCCTACAGGACTTCTGCTCACGCCTCGGCCTGGGAGGGTTCCAGCCCCGGCTCTCACCAGCCCCAGGAAGGCGGCACACAGGAGGACGGTGATGAACCAGCGCAGCACGCTCCCAGCCCGGCCGCTCCGCCGGGAGCCCGCCACCGCCTCCGGCTCATTCTCCGCTGGGGCTTCGGCCGGGAAAAGCCGCTGCCCGGCAGCCTGGGCCCCGGCCCCACAGGGTTCCAGTTCCAGCTCCAGCTTGGAGGCTCGCGAGCAGCGGTCTTGCTGCCGTCCGGCTTCTCAGAGGAGTCTCGAGAACTCCAAGCCCTGCCCCGGCCCCGCGCCTCCAGAGCCGGCGGTCTCGGCTGGCGCCACCTCCCCGGGGGAGGCCCTAGTCCGGGCCGAGGACTAGAACTTCTGACCGCGCCGGGTGTAGCCGGCAGCGGAGGCGCGCCCTCGCACACGCAGGGCGCCTGCCCGGGTCACGTGGCGGAAATGTGGCCTCCAGCCAACCACGGCCTTGCCTCAAACCGGAAGTTGATAGGGTTGCCCAGGACACTGGACGCCGCGCTCGGGCCTCAGCATCACACTTAGCTGAGCTCACAGAGGCCCTGTGGGCGGGCGCCGCGCGGCGGAGCGAGCTGAAGCCGCAGCCTGGGACCCGACGAATCAGGAGGGAAGATGCAGCCAAGCCGTCAGGAGGAAGTGCTGGCCAAGAAATACAAGGTATGGCTTCGCTCCCTCTCCCCGGGTCTCCTGGGGGGTAAAGGGAACCCCAAGGTCTGTCCTTAATACAACTTTCTAAAATCCCTGCCCTAGTTCCTTTAAGGTCTGTCGTCTATTGATCTGCAGTTCATCTGTTACTCCACAGCATTTGTTGAACCACATATGTAAGCTTTCACGTGTATGAGCTCAATTGATCCTCATAACAACACTCTAAATTACGTGTTATCCTGATTTTAAGATAGGAGGATTGAGTCATAGAAACTAGCAACTTGCCCAAAGTCAGTCAGCGAATCAGTGGACACAATAGCTCAAGAAATCTGGAGCCAAAACTGCGGTTTCAAGCACACTCTCACCCCCAGTCCCTTCAAATAATTCCATTGTTGTAAGGAAGTGGAGCAGGGCTTTGATTTGCAGAATGCCTGAATAAGGTTATGCCAGTGGGGGCTTCTCTGGTGGCGCGGTGGTTAAGAATCCATCTGCCAGTGCAGGGGACACAGGTTCAAGCCCTGGTCCGGGAAGATTCCACATTCTCCGGAGCAACTAAGCCCGTGCGCCACAACTACTGAACCTGTGCTCTAGAGCCCGTGAGCCACAACTACCGAGCCCACGTGCTGCAGCTACTGAAGCCGGCGCGCCTAGAGCCCGTGCTCCACAACAAGAGAAGCCACCGCGATGAGAAGCCCGCGCACCGCAAGGAAGAGTAGCCCCTGCTCGCCGCAACTAGAGAAAGCCCGCACGCAGCAACAAAGACCCAAAACAGCCAAAAATAAAAATTAATTATTTTTAAAAAGTTATGCCAGTGGATGAAGGAAAGGCCTTGTTTTGTGTATCCTACTCTAGCTTTTTGTTTCCTTTTGCTCTTTGACCAAACAGACCACGGCCTCAAAATGTGTAAATATTTTTTTCTCGTTTATCTGAAATGTTCTTTTCCACCTGATTACTCTCCAGCTCACCCACTTAAGCTCCAGATTATACACACCTGAGTCTTATCATCATTTCCCTTGCAACCCATCTCTCCAGCCCCATCCATTTGGTCATTAATCACGTCCCAGTTTACCCCAGAAAGTACAGGTGTTATGATTTAAGAGAACCTGTTTCAGTTTTTCAGAGTCAGGGAATGTCTCTGAGAAAAGTGTAATGTGATTGAAACAAAAGGCATATACATATGTTAAAGAGAATAGAATATGATATGGGAGAAGTAAGTTAGGTCCAAATTGTTAAGGGCAAATAATTCTTCTGCCTCGATCTCTTTCTCCTCTCCTTCTGGGACTCTGATGACTTGTATGTTAGACCTTTTGATATTATTGCAGAGATCCTTGATGCTCATATGTTCTCTTTTTCTTTTCTAGTTGTTTTTTCCCCTCTCTGCTCTTCAGTTTAGATCATCTCTGTTGATGTCTCTATCTTCAAGTGCACTGCCTCTCCTCATCTCCATTCTGCTGTATCCACTGAATTTGTTTATTTCGGTTATTGTACTTTTCAGTTCAAAATTTCCACCTGGTTCTTTTTCATCGTTTCTTCTTCTCTGCTGAAGATGCCTTTCTTTACATTTATCTTTACCTCCTGGAACATGTAATAGCTGCTTTAAATTCTAGGAAAATGGCAACATCTGTGTTATCTCAGGGTTTGTGTTTGTTGCTTGTCATTTCCCTTGGGATTTGGTCACATTTTCCTGTTTCTTTGTATGACAGGTAATTTTCTATTGTATCCTGGACATTGTGACAGTTACATTATGCAGACTCTGGGTCCTGTTAAAATCCTCCTCTGGAGAATGTTCATTTAAGCAGGCAATCAACCTGATTGAGTTCAGGCTGCAAGTTTCGTATCGCCTTCTGTGGATGATGGTTCCAATCTCAGTTCAGTTATCAAAGCCTGTGCTGTGCTGTGCTGCTCTGGGCCAGTCCTGAACATGCACCACTCAGGCGTTCATCTGAGACTTGGGCAATGGTTTAACACTCAAATCAGTTGTCAAAGCTGTTGCTATGCTGCTTCGGGTGTCTGTCACACACAGGGGCAAACCCAAGGGGCTTGCGTGGTTCATACACAAAATTTTAGTGATCACCTTCTCTAGCTCTCCCCTCCCCACCTCCCCACTCGCTTTCCAACCCAGAGCGTCTCCATTTCTCAGTTCCTTGAACAAGGAAGATGGGGTTTCTATCATTCTATCTCATTGCCTTGAAGGGTTTTTTTTTCTAAGTTTTGATTCCCCTCCTTTGTTCACTTTTCAGAGTCCTCAGGTACTTGCTCTTTGTATTTCATCGTGAGTGGTTAGTTGTCATCAGTGGGAGAGGGGCTGGAGCAGGCTTATGATAACACCGAACCAGAACTATCCCTACCTATCTTTGAAGAGTCAGCTGAGGTGTTACTTCCTCTAGGAAGCCTCTTCTGACCCTCCTCTCAGTCTCGGGACTATTTTAGTTTCCCTCCTTTGTGCATAATTCTCATAGGCCACCAGCTACTACCTATAGAATTTTCCTATTTATGTGTCAGCTTCCCTTTTATACCAAGAGTGCCTGAAGGAAGGTACTGTGTCTTATTTATCCTCAAGCATAGTGCCTGGCACACAGTTTGTCTTCAGTAAATGTTCATTGAATGTAGTAGACTTTTTCTGAACAACCTAACCAAAAATCTGAATTCCTATGTAGCTATGCTACTCCTAAATGTTCTCACACATTCTGGCTTGTGTTATAGTTATTTCAACACTTCTCTTTAGTTCCCTAGGAGATTGTAAGCTCAATGAGATGGAAACCATGGATCTCATGTCTCTATCTCCCCTGTGGCATTGTGTTATATACTTAAAATATTACATAATTGAATTGAGGTTCAGTTAACTAATTTTAAAGTTAAATGTTTTAATTCACCCTGAATAAACAGCAAAAAAATTTTTTTCTCTAGATGGAAAGATCTACTTTCTGATTCTCCCCACTTCACTCCTGAAAGCAGCAGGATACTTTTTCCACTTGCCTCCAGAGGTCACTCACCACCTTTTTTTTAAAAAGGGGTGATTAAAATAGGGCATTGCTTCACGCAGCTTTCTCTTTAGACCATTTTTGAGAATAAATCTTTTTGTATGAGACAATTCAAGAGAAATAAAAATGTTGATGGGCCATTCTTTAAATAAATATAGTTTTATTGATTCCCTTGAAAAAATGGATATTCTACAATATATATGACAATTTATCTTTGAAGAAAATATCTGGGTCTTAGTGGCTAATATGGTACTACCTTGGCATATTTGTGAAATGGCAACAGGGAGGCAGGTTTTTCATCTTTCAACTTAAAATTTTACTTTGGATGAGAATGAGAACTTAGATGGATTATGTTTAGGGACTGCATATCACTGTTAGGACCAATTTAATCTTTATTCTCTGGAGGGACCATCCTTTTTACTTATCAGTAAATGTCTCATTAGTGCTTAAAGTGCATCATGAAAAACTAGGTGTCATCATAACTATTTCTATCAGTATACTAAACGATCATTCTTTAACCTCATCTCTAAAAGCCCAGTCTATTAAAACCAACTCTCACAAAGGTTTAATTTCAATAAGATAACTCTCATGTTTGTGCTATGTATTCTGAAAAGTGAGAAATAATATTGAAAGTATCTAACATTGGTGTCTGTTTGATGGAATTAACTTTTTATCTTATTAAAAATAAAAAATTACTGTTTTTTCATGAAATTTCCTTATAAAAATATAAACTTAAAATTTCCTTTAACTGGATTCATTGTAACATTTGGGGCTGCAGGACTCTGAATCTACCATCATAATGGTCTCCTAGGCTGTATTGGTCAGATAAAATCTTTGCTGTACTGTACCATTATTAGCCAAAATCAATATATCAAGAGAATAAAAACAAAGCAACCAAAAGTGAGAGCATGGCTACTGTAGACTCTGCACAGAAAAATAGAATAACATTTCTTAAGGTACTAAGGGCTTCAGAAGCAATTAGGGTCATCTGCATCAAAAAAGAAAGCCACTTTAGGGCTTTAGGTACTTTGTAAGGGATATGATCTCCATCTGTACAAAGAAGAGGCCACTTATCCAGAGCTGTACACTGCTCTGCCCTGGAACAAAGGAAAAACTGGAAATTACAGATGGCTTTTAGCATTCTTGTTTAATCACTGCCATCTGATACCACATTTGATACTACCTGCTTGGAAAAAGTCCAAAACCTTTGCAGAAATCCCCACAATGACAAGGACTGTTGTGTTGCTGGACTAGGAACAAATACTAGTAACAGTATTTCTTTTTAAGTTGCGAGCAAACTATATAAAATCCCACCTGTTCATTTATTTAGTCATTAAATAGCTATTAAACATCTAGCATGTGCCAGGCATTGTTCTAACAGTGAAAAAACAGACAAAAATTCCTGCCCTCATAGACAAGGTAGACAGTGAACAAATACATTTGTAATGTTATGTCAGATTGTGATAAATACTCTAAAGAAAAATAAAG